TATGCTAATTTCACCAAATCCTCATTCTCGACCACTCTGAAAATCAACACATCGAAAACGAAGGAAATGAAAAATATCAACAAACTCAGAGCCACCTGACAGACAAATGGCATACCCGTCACGTACTTAACTCTCGTTTTTTTCTTGGAAAAAAGCCAAACACGAACCTGTTGGATGGAAATCGCCGAGGCGACTACCAAACGCCCGCGTGATCGTGGATGCATGCCTGACGTAGAGCAACTGCGAAATGCCATCAAGCAGCGATGAGAACGAGTGAAAATACAGAAAAAGCCAGCAAAGTAGTATGAAGATCGGGCCAACACAGGCACGCACGAAAGGCCTGCTCAGGCGATGAAGCAGCGGTCTTTTTTCCCAAATTTCCGAAGACATTACTGGTCGCATCAATTTTCTCTGGATAGCAGGCATGCAGCATATCGTTACAGCCAGAACCGGCAATCACACAACACATTTCATCGCCATCGCTGTATTCACCCAAGCATCGTTAACAACAACAACAACAGCCCTGAAACGAGGCACATGAACAGAGATAGTGCAAACATATTGGATTGCCACATAACTCCGTGCTGTCCTTCATTGGAGCCTTTGTTTTTTTGTTATTCAATTGGTTTTCTCCAGTTTGGAGTTCGACTGTTGCGAACTGGAGCTTGCTTGTTGTTAACAGCTCGTTTTGCCCATTTTTAAGGCTAATCAGTATGCAGTGTCAAGTACAGAAAAATGATCCGGGGCTTTGCAGCACCGGTACCTGCGCCACTGGGGAGGGGGAGCTGGATACACTTATGACTGGGGCCGGCTGAAAATCCAGGAAGGTTTGAGAGAGAGATTCCTCGCGTTCGATTGGGCCACCAACTCACCCGGTATTTTTTTGGATTTTCAAAAGACAGCTAGGAATAGGACCGACGTCCACCTATCTCTCCAGCAGCAGCACTGTGCATAAGAGGCGGGGGGGAGGATGAGGGATACCCGCTCTGTCCAGCTCTCTCCAACCCTGCCAAGATCAAATAAATACTTTTTCGTGGATAAGGTAGGAGCAGAGACAATGACCGTTGTGTCAGTTTTATGTCCCTGCAGTCTCATCGCTGATGCCCCCGCCTTGAAGACGAACCGTCATTCCCAGAACGGGTCAGCAATCAACACTAGCACCACTCGCCCACCGGCTCCGCTGCCCCCGCCCCTCCCGAATTAATTTTGGGTTCCCTCTTATGCAAATGGTTATCCCAGCACACCTGAATCTGGGAGGTTCTGAAAGGTCGGGGACTGCTGCTGGGCGGTGTCACGGCTACTCTATGGTTGGTCGTCTTTTCCCTCCCCTCCTCCGCTTTCCGGCTCTCCCAGTGCGACAGGTACCAGTGCTGCGAAAGCCCGGGTCTAAAGCTGAAACTGAAGTAAACTAAAGCCTAAAGTAACTCTACTTCGCACGCTGTCCCGTTTTCCTCGCCTGCGTATGCTTACGTAACGTCGAGGTACACGTGAATGTGAAGCGTATTTTTCCCAAGCATGCCTGGATGAACAAGATCATCCAGTTCACTGGAATCCAATTTCCTTTTTGTATGTACATGTGTAAGAGGCGAGTGGTGGTTCCCTCGAATGTAAATGGAAATATTCGAAATATCAGAAATCCGTTTTTGAATATTGGTGATTAATGGGACTGTTGATGCTACGAGCTGGTCGGACACTCGTATGGCCCTCAGATATTCCGGGAAGCAGCGCCGGTCCTTTGTGGTGAC